TGCGTCGGTAGTGGTGTTCATGGTTCCCCAGAGCTGTCCTAGGTAAATTTTCGGGGATTTGACAGACAGTGTAAGTGCTAGCCACAATGGATGCCCTTTGAGGATGGAGATCATAACCTTGTCTTGGCATTTGAGTATGATGGGGTCCAACAAGTAGTTGTTGTCTTTAATGTCAATCCAGTTCTCCATTGGATACACTTCCTCTTCATATACGAATGCCATTATACATGAATTGCACAATTAAACAGAGATTAGTCAAAGAATGGGCTTTGGGCTTTGTTGAGCTTTGGTTTGGGTTTTAGAATTTGGGTAAAGGGAATTTGGTTGGGGACTGAATGGGCTTTATGATTTCGGGTTATGGACTTAAGGATTTCGGTAGCCCGTAATTTGAGATTTCGGTGGCACGATCTCAGATGCCCATTTGAGAGAGGATCTCGGTAGGGGGATTTCGGTAGGTAGATTTCGGGTAGGAGGGATTTCGGGGAGGAAGTATTTCAAGTAGGAGGGATTTCGGATAGGAGGGATTTCGGGTAGGAGGGATTTCAGGTGCCCGTCTTTGAGGATTTCAAATTATGATTTCGGGAGTGGGGATTTCGGGATAGATCTCAGCCGATGATTTCGGATCCCTGTCAAAGAGATTTCAGAAGATTTTCTTGGGAAGGTAATTTCGGCTAAGTCGGTTTTTGAGATTGGATTTAGGTGATGGATTTCGAAGGGTCACACAGCAAAAGCTTTTGGCTATGGAGTTTATGAGAAACAGAAGATGGTCAACTATGGTGAAGGAGGAGTTTATTTTAGGGACGGTGGTTGATGACGGCAAGGTGGACGACAGTGAGATGGTGGTTGCCAGTGGTTTTCTGCCGGTATCCTCTCGTCGTTTCCAAGCGAACCTGCAACAAAATAATTAAAAACATATACATGCAAAAATGAAGTGAGGGTAAACCTTAAGATTTTGAGATGCGAGGAAGATGATGATGATTGAGAACAAAAAAATTGGAAAGTGATGAGTGCTTTGAGAGCTTTTGAGTAGTGAAGAGGAAGAGAATAAGAAAATTCCAACCGATTCTTTCTTAAGTACCCTCGAAAAGAGAAGGGAAAATCTTTTTGGCTTTTTCTCAAAATTGGAAACTCACTCAATTTAACTAACTAAAAATTCCTAGACTGACTCAAATCAAAACAGAAATATTATTTTTGTAATTTTCAAATTTTTAAGAAAAAAAATTGCGGATACTAAGAGAAATAAAAATTACTCACCCTCAATTGTAGCACTCAGACCAGACTAATATTTTGCTCCCCCTCAATGTTTGCACATTTTAGGGAAACAGACTGACAGACCAAGAAACTGATTCAAAAAAATTGACACGACACAAAAAAAAATTAAAATTAAAACTCCCCCTATACTTGTGCACGGTATTAAACTTCCAAATTCAGCATTCCCAGTTTAGAGACCAGGAACTGAAATCTTTTCTCGTCCAGAGCTTTTGTGAATAAATCAGCCAGTTGAAGCTCAGTGCACACAAAGTATAGGTCCACATGACCTTTTTCAATATGATCTTTGATGAAGTGGAATCTCAGGTCAATGTGCTTAGTGCAAGAATGATGAACCAGATTGCATGAGATATCAATCGCACTTTTTGAGTCACTGTAAATCGGAATGTGGTCAAAGTAGAATCCAAAGTCACGTAGTTGAGTCCTCATCCATAATACTTGTGACCAAAAGCTAGCAACAGCGACATATTCAGCCTCTGCTATAGATGTGGACACACAATTTTGCTTCTTTGAGGACCAACAGACCAGCTTTTCACCAAGAAATTGAGCACTACCAGAAGTACTCTTTATGTCCATTTTACATCCAGCGAAATCCGCATCAGTGAACGCAATCAGATCAAATGCAGTCTCATTAGGATACCAGAGTCCTAGATTAGGAGTCCCTTTCAGATAACATAGAATTCTTTTCACAGCCAGCAGATGAGATTCTTTTGGATTTGCTTGAAAGCGAGCGCAGAGACAGGTAGCCAACATAATATCCGGTCTGCTTGATGTCAGATACAGCAATGAACCAATCATTCCCTATAAGTTGTAACATTCACTGGCTTTCCCGATGGATCAGAATCAAGCTTACAAGCAGGAGTCATCGGGGTTTTCACAGGGGTGGTGTTCTCTTGACCATATTTCTTTAGCAAATCATGGATGTACTTGGACTGATGAATAAAGATTACATCGGGTAGCTGTTTGACTTGAAGTCTAATAAAGAAATTCATTTCACCCATCATGGTCATTTCGAACTTAGATTGCATTAGACTTCCAAACGCAGTGCAGAGGGCCGGATCAGTGGAACCAAAAATGATGTCGTCAACGTAGATCTGGACCAAGATGATGTCAGACCCATGACGCTTAATGAAGAGAGTAGTATCGATTGTTCCTTTTGAGAAGCCAGAATCAACCATGAAATCAGATAATTCCTCATACCAAGCTCTCGGGGCTTGTTTGAGTCCATACAAAGCCTTATCCAGACAATAGACGTGATCCGGATATTTCTCACTGATGAAGCCTTCTGGTTGATCAACGTAAACTTCTTCTTTCAAGATCCCATTCAAGAATGCTGTTTTGACTTCCATTTGATAGATGGTGAAGTTCTTGTGTGCAGCATAAGCCATGAACAGTCAAATGGCTTCAATGCGTGCAACTGGAGCGAACATCTCATTGTAGTCGATGCCTTCTTGTTGATTGTAGCCTTTCGTAACTAATCGGGCCTTATTGCGAATTACAATCCCGTCTTCATCTTTCTTGTTCTTAAAGATCCACTTAGTGCCTATTATTGATTTTCCAAGGGGCATGGCACAAGTGACCAGACTTTCAGTCTCTCAAACTGTTTGATTTCTTCTTGCATGGCGATTATCTAATCAGGATCAGCTAACGCTTCAGTGACATGAGTAGGCTCAGATTGACTTAGAAAACAGGAAAACAAACATTCATTCTCGGTAGCAGATCGTGTGCACACTCCACTTGAAGGATTTCCAAGTATTAGATCAGGTGGATGAGCCCGTGTCCATTTTCTAATATGAGGGAGTGGCTGAGCATTGTTGTTTGGTTGCTGATCAATATAAGGAATATCAGCATGAGAAACAGATGAAGATGTAGGATCAGTGGATGGAGGTGTTGTAGTTTCAGTCTCAGCTGTGGTTGCAGAAGATGATTGAGTTGATGCAAAAGTAGGTATTGCAGCTGTAGACACAGAAGTAGGTGTAGGAGATGGATCGTGTGGTTGTGGATTCTCGTATATTTGGTCAAACAGATGATCGAGATCCACAGAGTTGGAATAAGGTGAAGGAGATGATGCGGGTAGTTGTGCTAGAACATCAGTGATATCGGGTTCTGAACTGATATGTCCAGAAGCTTGTTCTTCCTTCTCGTCAAAGGTCACATTGATGCTTTCAATGACTTTCTTTTTGTCTCTGATGTATACTCGGTAAGCTTTAGACGAAGAGGAGTAGCCAATAAACACGCCTTCAAAAGCTTTCGGATCAAACTTGTTTCGATCTTCCCTGTCATTAGTGACGAAGCACCTGCATCCAAAAACTTTTAGAAAAGAAACACTGGGAATTCGGCGGTTGATCAGCTCATACGGTGTCTTTCCAAACCTTTTGTGAATTGAGGTCCTGTTCTGAGTGAAGCAAGCAGTGTTGATAGCTTCAGCCCAGAGAGAATGTGGAAGTTTGGAGTGTATCAGCATGGTTCTTGCAGCTTCAACAAGAGTTCTGTTCTTTCTTTCAACCACCCCGTTCTGCTGTGGGGTCTTTGCTGCAGAGAAATTATGAATGATGCCTTGAGTCTCATAGAATTCACTGAGTTTCTGGTTCTTGAACTCGGTGTCGTTATCAGATCGTATGAAGAGAATTGTTGTCTAGAGTATATTCTGAGTAGTACAGATGAAGGTGATGATGACGTCTGTTGTCTCGTCTTTGGAACGTAGGAACCGGATCCATGTATATCTTGAGTAATCTACTATCACCAGGACATATTTCTTCCCACTGATACTTTATGTACGCATGGACCCACAAAGATCCATGTGAAGCAATTCAAGAGGTCGTGTAGTAGATGTTGTCACTTTCACCTTGTGAGAAACTCTTCTCATTTTTCCATGTGCGCAAGAATCGCACAGATGATCACATTTACTTTGCAGTGTTGACAGACCAATAACAAGCTTCTTTGATGACAATGTATGCAGATCACGGTAGTTCAGATGAGACATCCTCTTATGCCACAGTTGATTCAGTTCAGAGGACGCTCTTGACAGCAAACATACATCAGTATTGGGAAACACTGTTTTCAGCGCAATGGTGTAGAGACTGGATTTGCATCTACACCTCAGAATGGTATTTCCTTGATCATCCTTCACACAACACTTGTTAGCTCAGAATATGACTTTCATGCCCTTGTCGCAGAATTGTCTGATGCTAAACAAGTTGTGTGTTATACCAGCAACATAAGAGTCATCTGTGATTCTAACCCCGCTATTGCAGATATCTCCAAATCCAAGGATAGGAGCGGAGACACTGTTTCCAAATCTAACTTTCCCACCAAACTTGTCAACGTAGTTGCTCAACAGCTCTTTCTTCCCAGTCATGTGTGTGGAGCAACCTGAATCTAAGTACCACACACGACTGACCTACAAAATTAAGCAGCCTTAGGTACCCATTTAAGGACGGGTCCATCCTTTTGATGTGAAGAAAGAATAGGATTAGAATTGGTCAGTTTATGTTTAGGAACCCAGACTTGTTTAATCTTTTGGAATTTTTCACTTGAGTTCTGGAACTGTGATTGAGATTGTTTATGACTTGTGAAAACTTTCTCTCTCGTCAATCTTTTGAAGTGTTTAACAGAGTGAACCTTTAAGGATATTTAAGTAATCACCTCCACAAGAAGAGAAATTAACACATCCATTTGAATCATTCATTTCACACATCTTGTTTGGAGAAAGGAGAGTTTAAATAATCACGCTTAAAAACATCACTTGAATTAGAATCACAACTAGAATGAGAAGAAGCAAACTTAGGAGATCTGTCTGAAACATAACTAGAAGAACTATTAGAAGAACTAGAACGGAAACAATTTCTAACTCTATTACAAGACTTTTCAACAAAATTAAAGATTTTAGTAATCTTCTTTGAATGCTCATGTCTTGTTTCCTTCTTCACTGCTGTCTTGGCAATCCAGGTGATCCTTCCTGCACTTGTTTTAGGAAAAGCTTTCCCTGTGTTTGGAGCACATGATAAGTTTCTTTCCTTTTCAAAATGATATTCCTTTTTACGTTTATCAGAAGAAGAAGTTTCAGGAGTTTTAGTGCCTTGAGAGGATTCGTCTGTCAGCGTAGCAATTTTCTTTAAAAGATCTTCCTTTTCAAGTTTAAAAGTTTCTCGTTCTTTTTCAAAAGCAGTGTGAAGATCATCAATTTTCTTAATCAAAAGTGGTATGTGAGGAATAGAAGCATTTGAGGTAGTTGCTTCTTCCTTCCTAGATTCAGGTTGATTCTCGGGAGGGAAGAAGGTTTTGTAGTCATCAGATAAAGGAATTTCTCTAGTAGCATAGCTGTCATTTAAAGCAGTGTGGTCAAATTTAACTTCAGCTCTAGCTCTAGTTTTCCTTTTCTCTTCTTCTTCCTCAATTGTTTCGGTCTCACCGGTAAATTTCATTAGTTTAGTCAGCCCTAAATTCATGTACTTGCTGTCATACAACTGGGGGCAATCAACCTTTTTCAAATTTTCTGGATTATTAAAACCTAGACCTGCTTTTGGATTGTAAAATTCAGTGTCCTTTGGTCTATTGTTTAAGAGAAAAGCACTTTGTTCAGATTGACCTCTTTTGGCAAGAATATCCTCTAACTCCTTGATTTTAGCATAAAGATTACCACGTTCATTGTTAAGCATGTTAAATTTTGTAAGAGCTTCATTGCGTTCTCGTCTAAAGTCATCTCGTTCTTTAGTTAGGTCAGAGAGAGATTGCTTAAGTTTACTGACTTCAATTTCTAAGCATGAGACCCTATCACGTGAATCTTTTAAGCGGATGCTTTGATGTGCTCCTTCAACCATGAGTTGTTCCACAACTTTAGTGTTATTTATGAGTCTGTCATCAAGTTCCTTAACTTTGTTTTTCTCTCTTTTTAGAGAAGAGATTAGCTCTTTCATTTTGTCATTTTGCTGAGAAATTAAAGAGTTTAGGTTACTAACCTCATTTTGAGTGGATGTAGTAGCATCGTCTTCTTCTTCAGAGTCATCACTTTTAGAGTCCGTCACTTTTGCCATCAGTGCCAAGTTCTCTGGCTCACTTTCTTCAGTGTCCTCTAACCAGCTATCGTGTTCAGCCATTAAAACCACTCATTGCTCCATTTGCTTGGCCATTTGAACCTTTTGCATGTAGTAGTTGAAGTCCTCTTTCTTGGCAGAATGACACTCCTTGGCAAAGTGACCAAGCTTCCCACACTTGAAGCACTTCATTGAATCACCACTCACAGCTTTATCTGAAGGCCTGCTAGCTTTGTCAGAATAGTTTGATGAAGAAGTTCTTTGCTTGTTGTTAGTTCCGGGGTTTCTGAATCTTGTGAACTTCTTCTTTATTTTTCTTGTCATAGTTGTTAATAAAGCTAGCTCCTTCTTCAGTTCATTGATCTCAGGATCAGAATCAGACAAGTTCTTCTCTTCATCGGATGAATCAACTTCAAAGGAAATTTTGGGAATTTTTTCTTTCTTTTTCTTTTCAGTTGATAGGAGGGCAAGTGTATCAACAATGTTCTTTCCTTTTGAAAAATTTACTTTTTCCCGTATATCCTCAGAGAATTCTCCTAGACAGTCGTAGAGATTGTGGATGGTCAGCTCATCCAGATCTTTATTTTGTCTGATTCGTTTGGCTGTTTTCTTCCATTCGAATTTGAGAGACCTCAGGAAGCGAAGGTTAACTTCCATGTTGGTTTTCCGAATGTTGATCTTCTTCATCTCGTTCAGAACCGTCAGAAAACGTTGATATGTATTGATGGATAAGTGTACCCGGGGGGTATCTATCCGAGGGGTTACTGCGGGGCGTAACTAGAGAGAAGTAAGAGCAAAGAAGTAAGAGAGAGAGTCAAAATGTATTAAGTGAACTCAGCGTATTGAGTGTGGTTTACAAATGGGGAAAAGGGTGCTATTTATAACAGCAATAAATGCTAGATAGGGACACGTGTCATCATTCTGGTGGTCGAGGGGTCACCTCAACGGGGTGGCACTGGCACTCACATGTGGCCGCATTAAATGTGGTGGTTGGACGTGACGTTTGTACTCGGTATGTTGATCCAGCGCATGTGGGTGGGAGATCCTGTCGAGGAGATTCCTTCGGCTGTATATGATAGTCCGAAGGCTCTTCATCCTGGGGGCCTCTATGTGCCGAGGGATCTAGGTGCCAAGGGCTACCGTTTTCGCCGTTTTCTCCCAGCAGCTTCGTAAGCCTAAAACAGTTGTTCTGTGAGATTTTGGGGCCTTCGGCCAGGGGACCGAAACGGCTGTGTGGGCAGCGTGGGCCTCCTGTCTCTTGGGGCGCAGTGACTTGGGCCTGATGTGCTTCCTGGGTCTGTTGGGCCTGTATTAGAATAGTGGGAGTCTATGGACCGGGGGTTCCCGGGCCATATACTCCATCAGGAGTCCCTCACTCCTTTTGCCGAAAGGTACTTGAGGGAAAAGGAGTAAAATGCGTTTGTCCTCTGATGCTGGCGTTTTGCTCTGTAATTTGTGGAGTTTGTGAGGAGTTGTTGTTTGCACGTTTTGCCGAAGGCAGTCCCTCAGTCCCCCACCTTCTGGGATTTGAGGGATTGGGTTGCTATTTTTGGGGAGACTTTTGATAATTTGCTTTTTTGAGATTTTCCCGAAGGGGTGTTCCAGTCCCCCACTCCTTGAGGCACTTATAAAGTGGTGAAAAGGAGTAGAGTAGTGCCTATCTGCAATATGGGCCGAGGGGTGACGCTTTTAGTTTCATTTTGGGGGGATGCCTCGTTAAAAACCTCATTAGGAAAAACCCTATGGGAAAAATTTAATGAGGGAAAAAGAGTGCACCGAATTCCCCCAATGACGACTCGAAAGGGTCACCCTTGGTCTAAGATGAAAGATAATATTGATGCCGATGGGTGCCCGTGAGTTGAGGGCCTTCTTACAGGAGTTAACCGAAGGCTGACTGTTAATATCCCGGAGGTGCCGAGGGGAGTCCCTCAGTCAGGGAGGCTGAGGGCTTGTTCGTTGTTGACGAAAGTCGGTGATCGTTCCTGTGTGCTGAGGGGTGGCAAGGTATTTTAGCCGGAGGCTAGCAACTGATGAGGGGATCTGAAGGTGTTGCCCCGGGGGGATTCCCTAGTTCTCAACATTTTGAGGGGTTTTTCCGTTGTTACCCCGGGGGCTCCCCTTGGTGAAGGAGTATGAAGGCATGCATAGTATTATCTGAGGGGTTCCAGCTGAAGGCAACACTACGTAGTGACCGCTCGAAGTATAGCCGTTGGGATATATGACCGTTGGTGTAACACCGACCCCGAGCATATTTACTTTTAGTAAATGATGTAATAAACCTTGAAAGATGATTTATGAATTTGCGTAATTGTTAATTTTTACTATTTATTTTACGTGAATAGTAAATTGCATGTGGGGCCCACAGCGGGACGGGGACCGCCCGCTAATTCCCGAACCACATATTATATTCATCTTGGTCTAGATAATATGTATATGGTGGTGGATATTTTATTTGGACCATAAGAAAGGCATGGGGTTGACCGGTTGGTCAAACGGGGCCCAAATTACCGGTATTGTCAGCAAGTTAAGGCAGAACATCAGCATCCGGCTGGGTTACTACAGCCACTTTCCATTCCTGAATGGAAATGGGAACACGTGACTATGGATTTCGTGGTGGGGCTGCCACGAACGGTTAAGAATTATGATGCCGTATGGGTTGTGGTCGATAGGCTCACGAAGAGTGCACACTTTCTACCTATCAACACTACCTATGCATCGGAGAGGTTAGCCAAGTTGTATGTGGACGAGATCGTGAGGCTACATGGGGTTCCTATAACCATTGTATCCGATAGAGATCCGCGATTCACATCACGATTTTGGCCGAAGTTCCAAGAATCTATGGGAACAAAGTTGAAATTCAGTACAACTTTTCATCCACAAACGGATGGGCAATCTGAGCGGGTTATACAGATATTAGAGGATATGCTGAGAGCCTGTGCATTGGAGTTCCAAGGGAGTTGGGACAACCACTTATCACTTGTGGAGTTTGCCTATAACAACAGTTATCAGGCAAGTATAGGCATGCCTCCATACGAGGCATTGTATGGGAGGAGATGTCGTACACCGTTGTGTTGGGATGAGGTCGGCATGGCCAAACTCGAGAGCACGGAATTGGTGGAGATCACCAAGTCTAAGGTGAAGATGATTCGTGAGAGACTTAAGGCGGCCCAGGATAGGCAGAAAAGTTATGCCGATAAGCGCCGAAGAGCCTTGGAGTTCAAGGCGGGAGATGAAGTATTTTTGAAAGTTTCACCTTGGAAGGGAATCATCCGATTTAAGAGCCGAGGGAAACTTAACCCACGATACATAGGGCCATTCGTGGTTCTTGAGAGGATTGGGGCCGTGGCATACCGATTACAGTTGACTCCAGAATTGGAGAAGATACATAACGTATTCCACGTATCCATGCTTAAGAAGTATATGCCGGATCCATCTCATGTATTAGAAAAACCACCCGTGGAAATACGGGAAGACTTGAACTATGCCGTGCAACCGGTGAAGATACTTGACAGGCAAGTCAAGAAATTGAGAAGCAAGAAAGTTCCAATGGTTAAAATCCTTTGGAAAAGTGACCGAGTCGAAGAGGAAACTTGGGAAACGGAGGCTTTGATGAAAGAGCAATACGCGTTTTTGTTTGAATGAGCATTGTGAATTTCGGGGACGAAATTCCCGTTAAGGGGGGTGAACTTGTAACACCGACCCCGAGCATATTTACTTTTAGTAAATGATGTAATAAACCTTGAAAGATGATTTATGAATTTGCGTAATTGTTAATTTTTACTATTTATTTTACGTGAATAGTAAATTGCATGTGGGGCCCACAGCGGGACGGGGACCACCCGCTAATTCCCGAACCACATATTATATTCATCTTGGTCTAGATAATATGTATATGGTGGTGGATATTTTATTTGGGCCATAAGAAAGGCATGGGGTTGACCGGTTGGTCAAACGGGGCCCAAATTACCGGTATTGGTAATTTAACGGATAACAGCCCGAAAAGAGTTTCGGAGACTCCTAAATTAATGTTGGGGAATATACATCTATTCTAAAGGCCCATAATTATTAGGAACACGTGATATATTTTATTTGGCACGATAAAATAAAATATGACTAAAGTAGTCCGAAAAATACAACTTTCGGGGCCGATTGTACACACCGGGACACAACGGGATGACCTCCCACCTAAGTGGGGGCCATCCCACGTTTTTGTGATCTGATTACCAAGGAAAGAGCTGGGAAGAAGCTCCTAGGGACAAGACCCATACCCACCATGATACCCTACCCCTTGTTTTATTGGTTGACTTAGAGGAGTAGGGATGATCTCTTATCCTCACACTCACTCTACACCATACGCACAAGAAGGGAGGGAGAGGGTCTTGGGATAGCTCTGCCAACAGGAAACTTTGAGGAAGCAAAAAGGAAGTGAAATCCAGGAGGAAAAGCTAGAAGAAGAGGTAAGAACACAATTTCTACTCTTTTAACTAGTTTTATGGTGTATGATTTGTAAGAAATCATATGATGGATTAAACATGATGTTCTACACGTTTAAAAGTGTAGAATATTGATATAAAGTGGTGATATTTAACTTAGAAGAGTTGGTGAATCGATAGGAGTCGAAATCGCCGGAAACCGCCACTTTAAGGGAGCTGCTCGTTTCTGCAGAACACGAAAGCCGCCCGGCTTTCGTGAAAGCCGCCCGGTTTTTGCCCAGGCAGTCCAGTTTTGCCTTTCAATCGGCCTAGAACGGGGATTGATCGAGGGGCGTAACAAAGGCAACTATTGTAGCACATCACGAGGTGAGGATGGCTGACTATATTGCTTATAATTAGTGAGTTAATTTCATAAGAATGCCTAAAGTAATTAGATGGGATTTTCATGGACTATTAAAGATTAATAATGTCTAAATGAAAATAATATGAATATGAGTAAGTGAAGCATGACATACAAATTTAGAATAATTGTGTATGATTATGTGAAATGAATGGAATGGCATGTTAATGGAATTACTAAGATGACATTGTGATAAAATATCCTTTACTTCATGTATGAACTTCATGAATGGATTAAAGTGATATTTTTGATATTGAGATTAAACTATACTTGGGTTGAGAAACCAATGGAAATGAAATGCAATATGGGGAATAGGAACTTGGCATGTTCTATGGTTATCCTATTAGTATCAAAATTCTAGTCGGGGAATTAATATAAATAAATGATGAAATAAATCCTAAGAGGTAGGATTGTGGATAGATATGCCTTAAGTAGTCTCAAGAGATACTTAAGGATGAATGACATGAACACTAAGGAGTGATTAGGGGTAGTCCTAAAGGCCACCTCCGGAAATTGATTCTAGGCATAGGACTTGCTTGAGAATTTGATTATGAAAATAAATAGAGTTGGACTCTAGGATGACATGGAGATGTAGTTGGGCCGAGCCCATGCCATGTAACATGATTAGCATGGAAACGTAGTTGGGCCGAGCCCTTGCCATGTATATGTGACCTCCGTGGAAACGCAGTTGGGCCGAGCCCTTGCCACGAGGTTATGGTTGGTATGGAAACGTAGTTGGGCCGAGCCCTTGCCATACAAATGTTGATATGATACATCGAGTTAGAGGATTGTATAGAGATGTAGTTGGGCCGAGCCCATGCTATACAATTGGGGCTCGATGGGACCCCACGGGGTTATCGTGACTCGCGGTCACGGGGGAATGGGAACGGTGAATTCTAAATGAATATGGGCCTACGGGCCGTCTACTTGACTTTATGTAAAGTAAGTACAGTTAAAGGTAAAAAGGGGTAACCGAGGGTTATGGCCTATAATATAATAGTACCCTAAGACGGGGTCTTGGAAATTAAAACGTTGATTATACTTAGTATAGTTGCTATTGTACTTGTCAAATATTTCCAAGTACTGACCTCCCCTTCACGGGGGAGGCCACCTCACAGTTTCAGGTAGGACTTGAAGGTTGCTACCGACGCCCGTTGCTTCAGGGATTTCCAAGGGAGAAGACGTGGTTCGTGCTTCTTCTGTTTCCTGTTTTCAAAACAATTATAACAATGCTCATGGATACTATTTTTGAATAACTATTTGGGGGCTTGTATGCCCATGTTTGCCAAAGTGTGGCTAAGACATCTTTATTAAATGCTTCCGCTGTTTTAAATGAATTATTTACATTATGCTTGTTTATGGATGTACTA